AAAAAGTATTCAAAATGCTTTTTATTTTCAGGCCAAACAATAAGGATTTTTACTTGTAGCAAAGAATTTATAGGGACCACCATCTGGAACAGTTTGTTCTAGGAATCCAAAAGAACATGTCTAGATTTCATCCATTGCTTCTTGAAGGATGTTTTTGTATGTTCCAGTGCTGAAAGCTGGTTTATATACATTTTGATAGAATTGAAATAGGTATTACTTCACTGTTGGAGGTTGTTGCGCTTCAGTTAATTCTATTTTAAAATTATTTGTCTTTTTAAAAATTTTTGATGGTACTGGGTATTGAACTCAGGGCCTTGTGCACTAGCCAAGCAGGTGCTCTGTCACTTGAACCACACCCCCAGTCATTTTTTGTTTTAGTTATTTTTCAAGTAAGGTCTCACATTTTTGCCTGGGGTCAGCTTCAGACTGTGATTCTCCTATCTATATCTCCCAAGTAACTAGGGTCACAGGTGTATGTCACTGAGCCCAGATTATTGGTTTGAGATTGGGTCTTGTTAACAGTTTTTGCATGGACTATTCTCAAACTATGATCCTTCCTATCTTTTCTTCCTGAGTAGCTGGGATTGCATGAATCATGTCTGGCTATTTGTCTATTATAGTTTGCATGTAGAAGGTCCAGGGAGTATTTGTATTTTACTCTCTTGATCAAAGATAGTTCCATGTTACTGTAATAGTTGGTACTTACGGGGATTCAGAATGGTAGAAGTAGACTTCTTTAAATGCTGTCCTAAGCACCAAAGATTGATAATGGTTATCTTGGAGGAGCTGAAATTCTCAGTCTATTATGTATGGCATACAAACCTTTAAGAATACTTTTCATCAAATCATGCACAAATAGATCTTCCTTGGAACCATTGAGGATCAGGGTAGTCTTTAGAGCTTTAATCTCAAAGAGATGAATTGAGTTTTCTTGTTGCCTTCTCTATGAGAATATTTGCTCTTTTTCTTAAGTAAACAATATGGTGTACAGCTGAAAGTAAAACAGATGCTCATATAAAACTGTAGTGCTCCTGAATTGCTGTTAGTAGAATTTGAGTTTTAAGTTCTTCCAGGAAGGGTGGTGACTATTCTGAACCCTTCAAGCTCTCTCTTTAGGTCTTTATTATGTTCAGAAGAATACATTTGTGAGAGGAGTTAGAAATATGCCTATAAGTGATCAACATTCTTCTCTTAATGAAGCCAGGTGACCCTCCTGGTGTATCTTATGGCCAGGATCATATCTTGACTTCTTAAAATCCAAGTCGATGTGTGCATCCTAGATCTTAGAGCTAGACAACTTGAGGTCATCTTATCTAGCTTCCTGCTTTGAAACAGTGTTGTATTTACCCTATTTTATGGATTAGAGCCCAGAAGAAATCCAAAGAAGTTTAATAACTTGTAAATAAACCAACAGTTGTAGAAGAATGAGAACCCAGGGATCTTGTTTCTCAGTGCATAGACTATTCTGTATAATAATAGAATAATTTAAAATATTTATCCTAAAAATAAGAAATCTAAAATATAGGAAATCATACTCTCTTTTTCTTTTTCATCTCTCCTAGTATTCTTTTATTTTAAGACTTATAGGACTTGATATGGTACATTCTAGTTTACTAACTTAAAGTCTTTTATATGTGGATTTCCATCACTTTTCAGCAAGAAATCTCATTATAGTTAATCTACCTTTTTTTTTTCTTCTTTAAATCAAAGGCAAGTAACTCTCATGGAGGCCTCTTTGCTTCTCTATTAATTTACGTCTGTTACCTTACTCCAGTCAAGATGCCACCTGTATTTTACCAGAATCAGCAGAACTGGTATTACAGAATAGAAGGCCTATAACCTCACCTTACTTTCTCTTCCTTTCTAGTTGACCTACCCTGAAAAGTCTTAATTTTTTCCCCCCTTTTCAGATGTACTGGCATTTGAGCCATGCCCCTCCCCAGCCCTTTCTGTTTTTCAAATAGGGTCTTGCATTTATTTATGTCTGAGCCAACCTAGACCACAATCATTTACACTTCCTGAGTAGCTGGAATGATGGACATGTACCACCACACCCAACTTTTATTGTTTGAGATGGCATCTTGTTAACTTTTTGTCCAGTCTGGCCTGGAACCAAGATCCCCTTCCTGTCTCACCTCCCGGGTAGCTAGGATTACAGGCATGAGCCACAACACCCGGGCTAAGCTTGTATTTTTTTTTTTACTTAAAGTACTTTGAAATTGCCATGTAACATATAAATAACAACTTTTTTTGGTGTGGTACTAGGGTTTAAACTCAGGGCCTTGTGCTTGGTGAACAAGTACTCTTGAACCATCCCCACAATAAAAAAAAATTTCTTAATTGTTACACATTCTCATAACACCCCAAGTTAGTGAACTACATTAGAGTGATTTTTGGTAAGAACGCTTGCAGTGAGAAATCAAAAGTAATAGGAGATTTAGTGAGTTTTTGTTTTCACTTTTTTGAGACCAGGTGTCACTATATAGCCCAGGCTTGGCTCAAACTCATTACTTTCTTGCCTCAGCCTCCTGAGTTGCTGGGATTATGGCGTGTGCGCATGTCCAGCCAAGAAGTGAAATTTAATAGGGTTAATTGGTTTTTATGTTAATAGTATACACATGAACCTATACAAGGAGTAACCTGTTCAGAGGTATTTGGTGCTTGAGGTTAATGTTCAGGTAATAGTGTTCCTTTAAATTTTTGTTTTTTGCTTATTTTGATTTGGGAATAGGGGTCTGGGAGCATCAGTGCTATATAGTTTTAGAAAAGTTTACATTTACTGAAGTAACCCATACTTATGATAGTATTTCTTCCTCTTTTTGCCTTAATTTCATGCTACACCTACTGATGTATGGCTCCTACTGATTATTTTCTCTGCTAAGGAATAACTAATTGTCCTGACAGTGTTTAATTTTTAGTTGGAGTTCAATATAAATGTAAGGATTCTTGACTTTTAGTAATGTGCAAACAGTGTTTATTTCCTCACTGTCTATGGATAGCCTTTTCTCCTTGTCTCTAAGAACAGTTGTTTCTTAATGTGTGACTCTGTGTTAGTACTAGGTGTTTCTGTTTGACCTCTTGTCAAACAGTGCTTGCTGTTTGGATATTTTTGTGGAAACAGAGCCCTCAGTAACTTAGTAACTACAATTTTCTAAGTTAACTCTTTGCCTGCCTGTTTCTCTTTTTTATTCTCCTAATCTTACTAATGTCTTTTTGTTAATTTTGCTTCCATTATCAGTGGAAGCTTAACGTCTTGTTTTATGTGCTTTAAGGTGTTTAAATGTGGACGTCTGGCGCCTGTTTAGTTTTACATGTAATCACTTCATTTGTATTCAATTTTGAAATGCTTGGATTAGTGCTGGGTTTTTTTCTTTTTGGAGGGACTATATCCCCAGCCCTGTGTCTTGATATTTTTATTTTTATTTATTTCTTTTATTTCTTTTATTTATATATTTATATGTGCATACAGTGTTTGGGTCATATCTCCCCCTTTTCCTCCGCCCCCCCCCCAATATTTTTATAAGCTAGTTGTTAAGTATATCTTTATAAGGTGGTCTGAGAAATATAAGCCAATCTATGTAAGTGTATTTCTAAGAATCCCTTATAAAGATGATCTGAACTAGTTAATAAAAATAATAACCAATTTAAAGAATTTCAAAATAACATGTTTTGAAAATGTACATGTGTACTACATAATATAACATCTGTAGTAACACTGTTTATTTATGTAAAGTAAAGTGTTTTTGGTTTTTTTTATGGAATTGGGGATTGAACTCAGGCTTCAGGCATGCTAGGCAAGTGCTTGAGCCTTTCTGTCAGTCCTTTTTTTTGCATTTTGTGTGTGTGTGTGTGCACGTGCGTGCGCGCGCACATGCTGTTGGGGGTTAAATTCAAGGCCTCATGCTTGCTAGGCAGGCATTCTGTCACTTGAGCCATTCCACCAGCTCTTTAAAATTGGTCATTTTTTAGATAGGGTCTTGCTTTGTGCCCTGGTTGGCCCAGACTACTATCCTCCAATTTTAGCTTTCCCATATAGTTGGGATGATAGGTGTGTGCCACTATATCCAGCCCTTGGTTGAGATGGGGGTCTCAAAGACTTTTTGCTCAGGCTGGCCTTGAACCATGATCCTACTGATCTCTACCACCCAAATAGCTAGGATTACTTGAACCACTGCACCTGGCCTGTATTTTTTATATATATATATATTTTTTTTTTTTTTTGAGATAGGGTCTTGCTAATTTTGCCAGGTCTGCCCTCAAATTTGAGATCCTCCTGTCTTTACCTCAGGCATGTGTCCATTTCATTGCTTTTTAAATTTTTTTTAATTTGGGGGGTTTGAACTCAGTTTCCCCCAACTCCAGCCCCACTTCTAATGTTTATGACAGAAAAAGTAAGTTCCTTGCATTCTTCTGACTTATCATTGTGGTCTGTTAAATTTCTTTCCCTGCTTGCCATCTTTGAATAATGAGAACTAATGAATTCTGCTATTAATGGGATCATGCATTTTTCTACTATTGATAGTTCAACCTTAGATTTTGTATTCCATGCTGTAATCCTAATAGAAGGCATGTGACTGTCTTTCGTTCCTTAGCCGCTTGTTTTCCTGTTAGTGTACTTTTCTTTAATTTGGTTCATTACTTTTCAATTTTATTGTACAGTATTAGTGACTAATTTTAATTAGAATATTATCAAATATTACAAAGTTATTTTCTGGATAAAAATATTCCAAGTGCCTTGTTACTGCCTTATGAAGCATATTGTTTCATTAATGAATTGAAAACTTTGGAATCTCAAGCTCAAAAGAGTGGCTGTTTTGTAAGGAAGCTTCAGCTTTTGAGACAAGCTTAAAGCTTCTTTTAAAAAAGAGGGTAAGATCAGATCACCTGTGGATGAGGCAGAGCTTCAGAGTTCTTCAGGCAGTGAAGGAGTTTAAGCCATCATCATCCCTCCTTTGCTATCCACTTGCACTTTCCTAGCCATCCTCTGCTTTCTTTGCTAGGTGTGGAGGGCGCAGCTTTCCAGAGCCGACTTCCTCACGACCGGATGACCTCTCAAGAAGCGGCCTGTTTCCCAGACATCATCAGTGGGCCTCAGCAGACCCAGAAGGTTTTTCTGTTCATTAGAAACCGCACAGTAAGTGGCCTTGCCAGGCTTATTATGACTTTTAAAGAGTATGGAAAAAAGTAGAAAGCAAAGAATTTTTCAATTGTCTATAATACATTTATTCCAGAGATAACAGTTGTTAAAAATTAGGGTTTTTTTCCTTCAGATATTTTTAAATATGCACGCATTTTTTTTTTTAATTTACAAGTTGATATTCTACCTGGATGCATTTTTGGGGATCCGTTTCCCATAAGAACACAATAAAAATCTTTATTTAAACATTTAAATTTTTGTTCTGTTTTGTGGTGCTGGGGATTCACGCCAGAGCCTTGTGTATACTAGGCTAGTACTTTACCACTGAGCTACATCTCCAGCCCAAAAAATAAATATTTTTTTAAATAATTATTTTGTCTTTTTCCTCCTAAGAGTTTTTTAGGAGGAAACTGCTCACCTAGTTCACTTCCTCCTCTGGCTGAATAATTGATATGTGCGCAATATTTCTCTTAACAGTTGGGTTGTAATTTAACTGTTAGATATTTAAGTTTCTATTCTCATGTTATGATTAAGCTTTGAACAGCCTTATACGTTACTGTCTCTAGCTGCTATTTTCTTACTATAAAGATCTAGAAAAAAATTGCCAAAGGGTGTGAACATTTTCAACATTTTGAAACATATTGACACATTGCCTCTCAGAAAAGCTGAACCAGTCAACAGTTACTGGCCTAAACCCATCTCATTTCTGTTTCTTGGCTTACTGAGACTGACTGCATTTTTATATTTATTAGTCATTTGTTTTTCTTTGACAAATTTTTCTTTCATGGCTTTGTGTATGAAAAATTCTTTAACAGCCAAGTAAGGGCACAGGCCTGTAATCTTAGTGCTTAGGAGGCTGAGGCAGGAGAAGATCCAGTTCAAGGCCAGCCTGAGCTATGTAATGAGACCTTTTTTAAAAAAAAAAAAAAGGCCTGGGGTATGGCTCAAGTGGTCAAGTACCTGTCTAGCAAGCATGAAGCCCTGAGTTCACATTCTAATACTTCCAAAATATTTATGTATGTATGTAGCTTTAAAAACAAGAAAACTCCCCTTTAGTCATAGAGTAGAAGAGGGCAAGGTGCTATTTAGAACATCACACTCTAGGATGATACAAAGTATAAATAAAGATTTCAGCTTTTTTTTTTTTTTTTTCTCCTGTACTAGGGCTTGAACTCAGGCCCTTCACCTTGAGCCACTCCTCCAGCCCTTTTTGTGATGGGTATTTTTGAGATAGGGTCTCTTGAACTATTTGCCTGGCCTGGCTTCGAATTGTTCCTTCCTGAGTAGTTAAGTTTACAGGTGTGAGTCACCAGGGCCTGGCTGATTTCAGCTATTTTGAATGTATTTCAGATGTCATTAACATGTTTTGCTTTTTTAGTAATCACTAACTTTTTTTTTTTTTTTTGTCTTTCATTTTTTGGTGCTGGGATTGAACCCAGGGCCTCATGAATGCTAAGCAAGTGTTCTACATCTCAGGCCTATTACTAACTTCTTTAATTTGACTGTTAGATTACAAAATGACTGCTAAATTTGGGTTGTTAAATACCATATAGCTAGAGAGGTAGGTTATATTGGGGTTTTACAGTACAGAAAAGATGGTGATTTTTTTTTTTTTTTTGAAGTAAGTGGAAGTTTCTTAGCATGTATTTCTGAGGTTGATTTGTCTCTTGATTGACTCATCTATGTATAGCATGCCAACATTTGATCTTAATGGAACTTTTTGATAAAATTGTCGTTTTTGGTTTCATCTGTAGGAAGTTTTCATGTTTTACTTGAATTTAAGTTAGATTTATAATGACTTCTGTCTTCTCTGATTTATTTCTTGTGACCAAAGGTTGAGATTTAGAGAAGGGTTGGCCCAGGTTAGAGTTACGGTCTTTGGCTATGAATCATAATAGCAGTCATTTTCTCCTGTTGTAAGAACTGTATCAGTTCTCACCTGGCATGGTGGTGCATGCCTTCCAACAGGAGGCAGAAGTATGAGGCCAGCCCTGGCAAAGTTTTGGAGACTCTATCTCAAATCCAAAACAAACCAAAGAACTGGGGAGGGAGGGGAGTGACTCAAGCAATAGAATACTTGCCTAGCATTCACAAGACCCTACATTCTATTCCCAGGACATGAAGCAGAAGGATTGTTCTCAATTCTCTCTCTCTCTCTCTCATAGGACTAGGGTTTGAACTCAGGGCTTCAAACTGGCAAAGCAGGTGCTCTACTGCTTGAGCCACATTTGCAGACCATTTTGGTTATTTTGGAGATGGCGGGGCAGGTCTCTTTAACTGTTTGCCAAGGCTGGTCTTGAACCAAGATCCTCCAGTTCTCAGCCTCTCTCACGTAGCTCCAATTATAGGCGTGTGCCACTGGCACCCAGCCAGTTCTCTGATCGTGAATTGTGTCCTTTGCCTCCTAGTTTTAGAACTACAGCTTTAGGATTATTAAACTAGAACTTGAGACTTCAGCTTTATTTTATAGGATGGAAGGATGAAGATTTGTGTGAAGGTTGAGGAGTTTGGGCCCAGTGTGTATGTGAGGCATTCCATATTCCCTTGACAGTAGTCACAGAGAAAAGTGTAGTGTTCATATGGATCTGTTCATATCTCTTTATAATTTGGTTTATTTACCTTTAGCCAAATTAACTCCTTGGTTAGAACTTTGTCTGTGGAGCAGTGTTCCTTATTTTTAGCTAAGACTTCAAAATGGTGATATTTAGTTTGTCTTGCATTGTGTGTGTGTGTATGTGTGTGTGTTCACTTCAAAGAAAATTCCTGTTAAAATAAAACCCACAGACTATGCCATGATCTTTTTCATTCTTCATTTTACTATTTTTTCTTCAGTGTTTTAAATAACTGACTACTGCTTCTTAAACAGATTAGTCTCTCAGCTTCAGTAACATAATAACATAATATTCTGGTTTTTCTCTTGCTTTCCTGGTTGTTGTCTTTTCTCATTGCTGTGTTGGTGTATCCTTAACAACTGGTCATTATGTGAACTGATCCTGACCTCTCTAAGGTCCTCCCTTTCTTCTCTCCTTTTTCCCTTAGGAGTCCTCTTCTGCATGTTGGCTTCAGTTACTACTCAAAGCACATGACTCCAGAGCTTACCTCATCTGAACTGCTATTTTATATCTCGTCTTGGTTGTCTTAGAACTAGACTCATTATCTCCTTTTGTTTTTCAGTGACCCCATTCAGTGAATGACACACCAACTCATTTAATTGTACAGTCCAGAAACTGAAGTTTATTCTTGACACCTTTCTCTACCGCCTCTACACACCTAATGGACCTTAGGTTTTGTGGATTTTATCTACTCAGTATCTCTGGAGTCCTGTGACTAGGACCTTAGTTGCTTCCTGCTAGCTATATGACCTTGGCAGTTTACTAGGCATTTTTCTTTTGGGGGCTAAATATCCCACAGTTTCTTCAATAATTCACTTATTTGGAACAGTTTTGTGTTGCCTCAGTTTCTTTGTCAGGAATATAACCCTTACTTTTAAGTAAAACTAAAACCCATATTTAAGGTCTTAAAAGGATGATTTTACAGATATCAAATGGCATGTCTAATTGTGATATAATTTATGTCATTTAAATATAGTTGCAGTTGTGGTTAGATAATCCGAAGATTCAGCTGACCTTTGAGGCTACTCTCCAACAACTAGAAGCGCCTTATAATAGTGAGTAGAATGTTCAGCAGCATTGGTTTTGGGCTCAGTTACAAAAATTGATACTTCTTTTCAGAAGCCTTATGGTTCCTTGGTAACTAATTTTCTCATTCACATTTCCATTCTCTTTTCACCTTGTACTGTACAAAAGTGAACCTTACAAAAAATAAACCTGTGTACCTTGTTTTCCCAGTCTTTAAATTGTATTGACAGATGAATTAAAGAGATTCCTAAGTAATTTTCCTAGACTTGTTATCCAGCTTTGATGCATAGAAAACTTTGACAATCATCCACAAAGTCTTGTGAAGTTTTGCAAAGTAAATGAGTGTTGTAACTACTTTCCAAAGGTTTGTCCTCCATTTTATCTGTAATGGAATGTCATTCTTAAATTTCAAATTATATGAAGTACATTTTGGGCCGTTTCACAGACTAAAAGTTCTAGGATCACTTTTCTGAAGGAATCATAGAATGACTTCACAACAGAGAAAGAGAAGAATTTTCTGTTTAAATCGTTGAAAATATTAACTTGTTTAATTTAAATTTGTTTGTTCTGTAGGCGATACTGTGCTTGTCCACCGAGTTCACAGTTACTTAGAACGTCATGGTCTTATCAACTTTGGCATCTACAAGAGGATAAAACCCTTACCAAGTAAGGACCTTCCTGACCAGTAAATTTAATGGTTTTAAGTTACGATTCTAGGACTGTATTTTATATCTTGATGCTGTTAACTTTTCTTTTTTTTCTTTTTACATCTTTTAGTATTAGTTGTACAAAGGGATTTCACAGTGACATTTCCATGCATCACATGACATACAATGTACCTCAATCAAATTCACCCTCTTTATTCCCTCCCCACTCCCCCATCTTAATGCAATGTCACCAGGTTTCATTGTTCTCTTTTCATGCATCTGTATAAAGTACTTTGTGTATATTCATATCCCCTTTCACCCTCTCCCACTGCTGCCCACTCCCAAACAGAAGTTGTTTTACATTCCTGTAATTCATTTTTAAGGTCTAGATTTCACATATGAGAGAGAATATGAAATTTTGTCTTTCTCATTCTGGCTTATTTTGATGGTCTCTAGATCTGTCTATTTTCATGCAAATGATATAATTTCATTCTTTATGGCTAAATAATACTCTGTGTGTGTGTGTGTGTGTATCACATTTTGGCTATTGTAAATAAATTTGTAAATTATATTTAATCAAAATATTTTCAAGTTTATTTTCTTATAAGTCAGATTCAAAATAAAACCTTTAAATACACATTTCTTTTAATTTCTGGTTCAGTAGGTACTTAGGAAAAGATTTGATTTCCAATTTTTTTAAAAATCAGAATTAAAATAAAGTTGTTAAAAATGGAGGAAGTCAGGTATGCAAGCAGGAGGTTGAAGTTTTCCTTTCATGGTTTTTTCCTTTTTTTTTCTTATAAATACTATTTGCCCCTTGCATAGTGTTTAGATAATATCTGCCAGGGATCCAGGAAATAGGGCTATTTCGAGAATTAACACATTTATTTTTAATGCTTTAATGATTCTTCGAAAAGAAATAGTAACCCTAGAAACAGATGTAGAGCTTAAAGGAAATAGCTCAGGGCCACAGAATATGTCCTCGTACAGTTGTGAGCTAAGTCAGTAGATCATTCATGATATTAAGGATCACAGATATGGAAACACATGACTGAAATGATGAGAAAATAAGTTTCAGGATAATACATTTGATTTGTAAGTGTTCAGCGTTAAATTGAAAGGCTTAAGTTTCAGATATTTGTAAATTTGTTTTCACATAATTTCCATACTTTGAAAACTGAGTTATTTACTTTTAAGACATTCTGCTAAGAACCTAGAGGTTTTCATGAGGAAAAAGCAAAACAAAACTGTAAACACAAACTTTTAACTACAATAAAGTACTCTGATTTTTTGTTGCTTTTTTTTTTTTTTTTGCTCTTAGCTAAAAAGACAGGAAAGGTAATTATCATAGGCTCTGGAGTCTCAGGCTTAGCAGCAGCCCGACAACTGCAAAGTTTTGGAATGGATGTCACACTTCTGGAAGCCAGGGTAAGGGTTTTATTTTGGATTTACAACCCCAATATAATGGAAATATTATAAGGAAATTATCTGTTGCAAATTAAAGTGTTATACAACTTGAACCTAGCCAAACTGATTTGTATAATTTGTATAGTATTTTGGAATGGATAAAACTTTTTTTGGGGGGGGGGAAGATGGGGTATGCCAGGGATCAAACCCATTGCTTCACGTGTGCTGGACATGTGCTGTACCTCTGGGCTATCCCCCAACACCCAGATAAAGCATTTCTGACAAGTTTTTTGAAAAGTGTTTAGTGAGAATTTAGAGTTTCTAAAGGATCCCATATCTCTGTCCTGCATGGACTCTGGTATGCAAAGTTTTTGAGATTAAAACAGAACTGACAACTTTGATCATTCATTTTTAAAAAAAACAAAAACAGGACCGTGTGGGTGGACGAGTTGCTACATTTCGCAAAGGAAACTATGTAGCTGATCTTGGAGCCATGGTAGTCACAGGTCTTGGTAAGTACTTCTTACTTTTATACTGGAGTATATGGTCTAAAACTCCTAAGATTGTTTAAACTTACTTTTTAAAGCCCAAGGTACAATTTTAAAATGTATTGGTTTAGGGTACTGTGTTTATTTTCTTTGTCAATAACATGACACCACAGACTGGATAAGACTGGATAAAGAGAAGAGATTTATTTTGACTCACAGTTCTGGTCTAAGGTAAAAGGGGCACATCTGGTGACAGACTGTGCATATGTATCTACAATGAAATTGTAATTCATGGGCTGGGGGGATGACTCAGATGGTAGAACACTTACCTGGAGGCCCTCATTTCAAACCCCACTACTGTGATTATGTGTAATTTTTTTGTTTTGTTTTCTTCTTTATTCCTATTTTACATAATTTTACTCTGAACATTATTAAAAAATTTAGATGTAATTGATACACCCTACATTTTGAGATTTTTTTGTTTTGTTTGTTTGGGTGCATTGGTGGGGATTGAACCAGGGTCCTACATATGCTAGATATGATAGGCATCCATTCTACTACTGAGCTATGGCTCCAGCTTCTGGTTTTTTTAGATGGTTTCATTGTGTACCTCAGGTTGGCCTCAAACTGTCAGTCCTCCTCCCTCAGCCTCCTGAGTTCTGGGATTACGGGTGGTATCCCATTATGTTCAAATGCTTGAGCATTTTTTATTTATTTTGTGGTACTGGGACTTGTACTCAGGGCCTCATGCTTACCAGGCAGGTGCTCTGCCACTTGAGCCATGTCCCCAGCTGAGTAAAAACTTTACTTTACCAGGTGCTGGAGGCTCGTGCCTATAATTTCTAACTTCTTGGGAAGCTGAGATCGGGAGGGCTGAGGTTTGAGGCCAGCCCGGGCACATAGTTCATGAGACCCCATCTCCAAAATAACCAGGGCAAGATGAATGGGAGGCGTGACTAAAGCAGCAAAGTGCATGCTTTGCAAGTGTGAAGCCCTGAGTTCAAATCCCAGTCCCACCAAAAGAAAAACAGTTTTTGACTTTGAAGTTTTCTCTTTTCATAGGTAAGCTGAATTTAATTGTTTGAGTTTTCTAGGAGGGAATCCCATGGCTGTTGTCAGCAAGCAAGTCAATATGGAACTGGCCAAGATCAAGCAGAAGTGCCCACTCTATGAGGCCAATGGACAAGCTGTAAGTTGAGAACGGACGGAGCTCCTCAGAATGTCTTCTGTTCAGCTGAAAATTGGGGGGGGTGGTGGTGAATACAGACACATACAGTATAAAGAGAGAGTGGTGTGACATTGCGGTGGTTGTTTTAACTCTAAGCTGTATAGGAAGCAAGTGCTGTATATGTGCAAATCTACATGTCTGCATAGGCGTTTATCTTAGGCATGGAATGAAGGCAGTAGCTAGACACTTAATCTCTTTATTTGGCCACTTACTCCAAGAGACCTGTGGAATTGAAACCTGATTCTTCATTTCTTTGTATTGTGCCTCCCATTGTGTGCATTAGCTCCATGTGCTCCTTATGACTTCAGTTTTGTGTTATAGGCTCACGCTTTTGATAGGCTCATAACTAGGCAAGTCATAGTTCTTACCAAAAGCAAAGGGACATTAAAGTATTTGCTGACCAGAGGCATCTGGGATTCTCATCTTTAGCATGACAGCAGATGAACATGGCGACTGGGCTGGGCAATGAGTAGTTGAACCACTGCAAGGTAGGCTTAGACTACCAGATAGTCTTCCTTTTGTAGGGGTGAGTAAAATTTAAAAGTTTGCATTTAGCAGAGATTTTACCTACTCCCCCATCAGGATGAGAGTTGACGCTTCTAGGATATGAGCACGTTGTTTTCTGTGTATTTTGAGGAAGAAAAGATTTGCTATGTATTATGTATGATGGCTTAACTATTGCTATGAAAAATAGTAAGATCTCAACACTTGAATTTTATATAATGGACTCAAGGTACATCCCCCACCTATTCCTATCTAACCTTTAGGCTTTGTGGGGTTCATATCAGAAAGGGACTAAGACTTTTCCCTACCATCCTGGCCCAGATTTCCTCCCAGGGCTTCTAACTGAGTAGACAGAAGAATGAGAGAACAAGGATGAAAGGATGAAGTAGAGGTTAATTCAAGAATTCAATAAGTTTGTTATTCTACAGAGATATGTAAAGGATACAGAGATGAGTAAGATAGTCTCTGCCATAGAAATAATTCGTCCTTCCCCCCCAATTGAACTCAGCCTCCTGCTCGCCACACAGGCGTGGTACCACTTGAACTGCTCTGCCAGCCCACAAATAAAATTAAAATTTACACAAAAATAGGAAGAGTACTGTAATGAGCCCCCCTATTTTCCCGCTCTTGTTTCATCTATCCTGTTCCTGCTTTTTGTTTTTTGGGAAGGGTGGTCTGAGGTTTTTTAAAGCAAAATACAAATGTATCACCCACATATCAGGAACACAGAAGAGAGGCAGATTTGCCCAAGGTTTGGTACAAGAGCCAAGAAAGCAAGAGAGAATGTGGAGGTGGTAGGGGCAGGGGAAGGATTTGGAGGGAATGAGCACATTTGTGAGGAGTGCTTTAGGACATCAGCCTGTGATTGTGGAAGGGAAAGCACTGGAGGTAGAAAAGGCATGAGTAAGAGGTTTCTGAAGCAGGATGAGTGCATCGTAGTGAGGCAAGAAGACAAGCTGCAATGGAGGATGGGATAGGCCAGGCCGTGGAGGATGCTGCTGTTGAAGTTGATCTGTAGGGTGAAACTTGAGAAGTCTGAGAGCATGGGAAGGTGATAGGATCAGCTAGGTGTTTGAAGTAGATTGCAGAAAAGTGCTGAGCTCAGGTAAGGAGAACAAGGCTCTGAAGAGGCTCACACAGCTCTCAAGAAGTGATAGAATTCACTGGTCATTGAGACAGCATCGTTTTCTTTCCTAAATGTAGAATAGGTTCATTTAGTCTTAACAGGTAGAGAGAACTTTTTATAGAAGAGATTCCAGAGAAATGCATTCTTGGTATTAGATGAGCTGTTTGTTTGAGGTAGGGTCTTGCTGTGAAGCCCAGGCTGGCCTCAAACTCAGGATCCTCCTGCCTCAGCCTCCCAAGTGCTGGGATCACAAGTGTGCACCACCTCACCTAGCTAGATGATCTTACTAACTTTTTTTTCCTTGTGGTGCTGGGTATGGAATCAGGACCTCTTTTTTCCTGTGTAACATATTTTAAAAAACATTTGTTTTGCAAACCAGTGCATACTATTCAGGCATGGTTGCTCTGCCATTTGAACTTTAAAGTACCATAGCGTGAGGACAAGATAAACAGCTTGCATCAGAACATAAGTAAAATACTTTGTGAGCCCTGTTCCTGTTCAGATAAAGCCTCTCTTGTTGATAGTCAGACTTTCTCAATGAAGAAAGTGGTATATTAATTTATGTTCTGGCTTAAGCTCCTTAAGGCCAGCCTTTGAGTAACAATTACTAGAATTCAGCATTTTGTGTGTAGGGATATTTTTCAGGCGAAATTGGTTGTCATTCAACTCTGTATAGGATTTTTCCGAGTTAGTATATTTCTTATTTCATGTGGTAGGCAAGCAATAAGGAAGTTCTTTTAACATTCCCAAGTTTTGAAAAGAATTCTTTGCAGTTTTGAGTTCCTCTTGCCTTTGGTTAATAAAACATAAGTAGGCTTGTTAATGTATATTTTTCTGTCTCCAGTAGTCTAGTGCAGAATAAGAATGAACAAGTCTTGACTTGTAGAGTATCTGTTGTCTTACAGGACAAGTACAAAGAACTCTGTTTACTTAAAACTACAGAGATGTTTCATGGCTTTAGAAATCTAAAGGGGTAAGTGGTTAGTAGCTTCATTCCCCCATTTTTCAGGCGAGAAAACTAAAAACTCAAGATGTATTTGCGTAAGGTCACTGTAGTCAGTGCATAGGAGAGCCAGAATCCACTGCTTGGTGTTCTCATTCAAATTCCAATGCTTATTCTTCTACACCTTCCTGTTCTTTCAGGAAGATAGAAAAGAGTGTCTGTACAACTCTACTGCCTGTGTGATTACATCTGCTAGATTTCCTTCTCAGAGACCTTTCTTTTAATAATTTCCCTAGAAGCCAGCAAGGCCCACCTAGAATAAAAATTTACTCAACCACTGGTTTTTCTTTAGTAAACTGTTGAGTAAATTAGGTTGTGTTTCTCAGTTCTTTGTGTATAGCATCAGTCAACAAGAAGGCAGCTGGCGGGCATAGTGTCTCACCCCTGTAATCCCAGCTACTCAGTGGACCAAAGCCGAGAGGATGCAAGTTTGAAGCCACCCTGGGCAATTTAGGTATACCCTGCTCAAAATAAAAAAGGGCTGTGGATTTAAGCCAGCAAAACTCAAGAGTTATAAATATCACTTGTAATGTTGCCTTGAGGACCTATTTCCAAAACCCAGCCATTTTGTTGCTGTAGGGGAAAAAAAAAATCACTTAGCAAGTGATTTTGTTCTATTGTTACTTTTTTTTTCCCCTTGGCAGTACTAGGGTTTGAACTCAGGGCTTCATGCTTGCTAGGCAGGTGCTCTACTACTGAGACACACCTCCAGGCTCTGTTGTTACTATTATCATGTTCACAAAGATCCCTAAAAAGTTGACCTCATGGTTCTCTCTGGTCCTGCTTAGGCAGCTAAAATCTTAAGCTTCTATGTTTGTTTTTGACAGGGAAAGTTTATTTTGTGGCTCTGGATGATCAGAGCAAGGGCTGTTCTATTAAGCTTATAAAAAAAAAATCTGATACATTTTGGACTTGTATTGTGATTCAGTCAGCTTTAACTGGACCAGGAGAAAGCTGAGAAGTAATTCATATCAGAACCAGTGAGGGGACTGAAAACATGAATAGGTAAGGGAGATAGAGGAAATGTCTGTTTTCTGCATTTGGTTACTGGCTTGTAACTTGGGCTTTCAATTGCTTTTTTTTTTTTTTTTTTTTAAAGAGTAACAAAAAGGATATCTTAATCACATTCCTGCAGTGCCATGGCATTCTGCATTAAAAGTCTCAGGTCACTTTGGAGTGTGTGTTGTTACCAGATGAGCTCCAAAGGCTCAGTAACTACTTAGAGAAACTGATACGTTGAGATCTTCTTGGGAATTGCTTAACTGGTATGAGGAAGAAAGCTGAGAGGTAATGGATGCCTGGTCTCTTACAGAGACCTAACATAACTGTCAGGTTTTCATTTGTGTTTTTATACAGTGATGTTTAGGTTTTTTTGGGGTTTTTTTTTTTGGACTCGGACCTGTTATATCCTTGTTGTTTTCATTTTCTCTCTTTTTATTTTCTTTTTTGGGGGCAGCACTGGGATTTGAACTCTCAAGGCCTCACACTTGCTAGGCAGTGCTCTTACTCTTGAGCCACTCCACCAGCCTTTTTTGTGATGGTTTTTTTTTTCAAGATAAGGTCTTGCAAAATATTTGCCTGGGGCTGGCTTTGAACCTCCATCCTCCTGATCTCTTTCTCCTGAGTAGCTGTGATTATAGGTGTGAGCCACCAGCACCCGGCCTGTTGTTTCCATCTTCCTTGGAAGAAACATTTCAGTCTGTCCCACCCCTTTAAAATCCTGACTGCGATTCCCTGCTTTTTATAAATGTAATCATCTCTAGCCTTCCTTTAATGATCCTGAAGTTCCAAAATAATTTTTCCCTCCTCATATATAGTAATAACAATTACTTTGCTTTTCCAGACTACATTTTTTTATTCATTTAACCATAAGAATTTACTATGTGCTAAAATCTGCCAGAGTGAACTGATTAGATAGAGTTGTATCTTTCCCCCCCCAGTCCCTGCTCTAAACATGTCAGTTATTTACATCCCCTAAAGGATTCCTGGGAGTGAAAGAAGGTGAGGATGGGGCAAGAGTCTCCATTTATAGAATCATACTGAATTTTATTTAGATTGAGGATATACTTCTCCTTATCCTTCCTGTAGGAATAATGATATATTATTTCCCTTGGCTATTTGGGAGAATCTAAATTAGAGACTCTTCAGGTATAGATTTTTTCCTCCAGGTCTTACCAGAGGAACTAATCTTAAAAGTGCTAAAGATATACAGAAGGAGAGGTAGATGTTAACTGTGACCTTCATTGGCCAGGTTTTTCAAAGTGTAATTCTTCCTAAGGGTTGCTTTTTATCTCAGAAGTTTCTGTACCTGCAACATTTATGCACTTAACTCTATTCTGCTCTGTTGCTAGAGAACTTATGAGGAAATAAGACAGATGTCAGTGTTTTTGGCAACTACAGAGCTTGTGATGATGAAGTACAACTGGAGGTAGCTAAGGATAGCCATCCAGCTTTTGAGGTTACTTCATGCAGGGTCAGGCCCTTGACCAGAGAGTAGTTTGGCTTTCACTAAACTTATTCCACGTGGGCTAGATATACAGGCTTCCTCCGGTGATCTCCAGTGTTCACACAGTCTTCAAGACTAATACACTTAGGATTGAACCCATGTAGGAACAATGAGACTCATCAGGTTCTCTTAGAATTTAAAAGGTACAGCTGGGTATAGGGTACACATCTGTAATCCTACCACAGGTGGTGGAGGCGGGATGCTTGCAAGTTTGAGGCCAGCCTGGGTTACATAGTGAGACCTTGTCTCAAAAGACAAAAAAAAAAAAAAAGAAAAGATTTTGAAAGGTACTATTTTTACTTGGTATTTTCATAGAGAAATAAATGGCTTTGAAAAGTCATAACCAAAACCTGGTTACAGTGGTATGCTTTTTGTATGCTTCTTTGTTAGACAGCTTTGTATTAGTGATCCTTGCCCCCCAAAAATGCTTCTTAGTTTTCCATTACAAGTTGGTACTGTGTTGTAGTGTAGAATCTACCTGCCCTCACCTGGTGCCTAATCCTTAGGATTGTTTGTGGTTCCTGTCTAAGGACCTGAGTAAAATGGGCAGGTAAAATGAAAACTATTACAGCTTGTGTTTAGAGATTGCCAATATTTCAACTCCCTTAAGTTATTTTGTTCCATAATTATATGTAGAAGTAATTAGAATCCAGGGGGAAAGATGACCTGAAACATAGATAGTTTGGGAGTGCTCAGGGTAGTCATTTGCTAGTTCTTCTCATTGTTTGGATATGCCAAATAGAATGTTTCTAAGTAGGTGATTTTTAGAAATAGATTCAAGCTTTAACTGTATTGAGAACATATTTTGGTTCTCTCATGGTAGTATTAGTTTCCCAATGGACAAGTATGTTACTATTTTCCAAATAGTCCTTTAATTTCAAGTTGAAAATTGAAAGTTAATGGAAGAAGAGCCAGGCTTAAAAGGCAACCCTGGCTGCACCTGCAACATTCCTATAGTTGGTTACCTAAGCAGAAAACAGATGGGGCCAGGTTCTGACTGACTCACACAGTCTCATAAAACTGAGCCTTGGGTCTGAGTGGGGTATGGAGATGTAGTCCTATCATTGGGTCTTCAAACGTGGCAGTACTCTTTTGGTTTGAGTTTTGTTTGTTTGATTTTGTTGTTACTGTTCTGTGTTTTTTCTTTCTTCTTTTACTGAGTTTTGCTTTGTTTCTCACAGCTTTCTCCCCCATCCCACCTTTTTTAAACTGCCTTTCTTTTGGCCATTTCTATGCTTTCCCATTTTGGTCTCTGTACAGTCTGTTCTTCATTTCCCTGGTGGTTGCAGCTTCCAAGCTAACAGAATGCTTCTGTCATGCTATGTGTTTAAAGCCTTGATTTTACTGCTGTCGTACAAAACTAAACTTGACGTGGCTGTTGGGCTGTTATTTACAGTTTATTTCTCTCTCTGCTGCACTGGTTAAAAGGACACTGTCAAGGTATTTTTTCATAATTTTTCAAATCATTTTCTTCACTGTTTACAATAACCCATTAAAAGCTCGATACTTAAATCTTTTCCTTTCGAAGATCCGCTCCATCACGCATTCACACTGGTTTGTTGTTGTAGAGTTGCGCCTATATGTTGGGCTAGTGCCATCTGAGTTTTTGTCATTGAAAGCGCATGTAAAATGTCAGTTGTTTTTTTTTTTCTCTTGTGGGGAGTGGGTGGGAAGAGGGAAGGTGTAATGAATCAAGTAGGCTACTCAGAAAAGAGGGAAGATACAAAAAGGTCAATTTGGTCCCTCTAACCTTGACAGTGTCCCTTTAAATATTTCTCTACCACACACCCTAGACCCCAGTTACTGAGCCTGAGTGCTGCGTCCTTTCTCAGTATGAACTCCCCTATGTGACTGTTGCCCTAACTGCAAAGATTAAAGCTTGTCTGAAGCAAGCCGTCCAGTTGGCACTGGAAGAGCTTTAATCTATCCCATTTGCGTTCTTGTGTTCTGGCACATTCTGCCCTATGAAAGAGGCAGACGTGATCTAGCCCCTTTTGCTGCTGTAGCATCCTCTTGCTAGGCATGGTAGAAGCCACAGACAGAAATAGCACCTTTTTGTACTCCAAGGAAGGCAGTCTTGCACATTGTATCTACTTTGAGTTAAGATGGTAGAACTACATAGATTTCATGTTGAAATATAGTTGTTTCCTTTTTGAAAGGAGAGAGAAATTTAGACAGAACTCTTGTAGCATCATAACAGATGTTACAGTTGATTAGTAAGTTTCTGAGAAGAGATTTATTTTGAGTTGTTCTGGGTATCACCGTTGTATCAGTAAGGAAAAGTAACTGATGAGAAAATGAGTGAAATTTCTAAAGAGGTCTCTTTCACCAACTTTCATAGCTGTAATCAGAGTAAGTAGGGACACCACCAAAAGCTCTCCTCGGCCATGGACTCATTTCTCAACACAAACTAGAAGATTCCTAGGAGTTTAGATTTCCTTAGGTTGAGGGTGATCCTCTAATTCACTATGGTAGCCCCATCTCTCCCGTGTGTAGTCATTTTGAATTGAGGCTTCAAGCATGATTCTGGCTTAGTCAGCTGTGGTGTCTGCAGGCCTCTTCCCTTTCTTTCTAGTGCAGGTTGCATTTCTTCACTCGCACAGTGGCTCATCTCCTGGAGTTATTGGTGGTCCGTGAGGGCCAGGGACTGGTACTTCATTCATCAGTTTAGCTGCAAGGGCAAAAGTAGAGTTTCCAGTGAGAAGTAGAATTTTAATTGTGGTGATCTTGTCAGCATTCAGTTACCTCTGATTGTAAAGATTGCTCCTCCTCAGACTTAGTGTCTGCTAGAACTTAGACAAGTGTTTCATTTTCTTGTTACTGATTTCAGGTTGACTGTAAAATGAAATTCCATGTTTTGAATCCCATTTCCCAGTCAATGCCCAGTTTATCACGAGAGATGCTGGCCTTAGCCACACCTTTTCTTTGTCTCACTGCTACTGTGACTTCAGCAGTAGGATTGGAGATTGTAGACTTTGGGCCAGAGTTAAGTATGGTAGCAGAGGGAAGGTGTCAACTAACTGATGGTATCAGGAGGTGAAGCAGGATGGTCTAGGGCATGGTCTTGAAACTTGAGGCCGCTTGGCCATATCTTCCCTTCCTCTACAACATTGAGGAGCCAAACCTTCTGGTACCTCAGTTACTCGTAGACTAAGAGCTTTGGCGTTTGGCTCTGAAGTTATTGGTGCCATAAAAATGCTACTCTACCAACAAATAAAGGTGCCAGTGTGTTCTTATTACTAGCCATGAATTTCACTTTTCCTATTTCCACCTGAAATTCTGTCATCTTTGAGGGGAGCAGGAACTACTCCTTCTCCCATCCTGCCCTTATTCTTGAAGGTCTTAGGTGTGTGAAATGTATTTTTGTTCTCTAGGACTTTTCTAAATATGTTGTTTGCATGTCAGCCCAGCTCAACTCAGTGCATGTCAGCTCAGTGCACCTTGTTGCTCCATGAACTTCAGTTGCACCAGTGTAAAACTGTGTGGCTATTAAACATGGGTGGACTCCAGCTTTGGAGGGCAGCAGTGGGAGAAGAGAGAATACCAGGGCCAAACATTTCAGGTACTCTCATTTAAATGGACGTAATCATTCATAGAAAAGAAAAATCAAATCATTGTCCTCAAAGGTTTTCCCTTTTGAAATACATATTGTACCTTTTTAAACTGTAGAGCATTTGTTCTTCAATGGATGCTTATGTTTACTTTTTAGGACCAACTCTGCTATACTTCGGATTTTCAGGTTCCTAAAGAGAAAGATGAAATGGTAGATGCAAGAATTTAATCGGTTTGCTAGAAAGCCACATCTTACCTTAGTCATGCAACCTAGACTTCAATGTTCCTCAATAATAAGCCTGGTGTCCCTTGGCCAGGCAACTGGAAGTTGTCAATTCAGTAAGTACTTTGATACTGTGTGTCGTATATTGGATTCTAGTTACAGTTTGGCTGGTTTATGTTTTTAAGATTTTCAATATGTCTTACTTAGTAGTTTTCCTTCTTTCATGTGGAATGGTTAAACCCCAAAATAAAAGCATTTAGAAATTTTATTTATAGGATCCTTAAGGCTTTTTTCAGTTGTAAATTCACTGCTTTTATGGCATTGTTAACTAATACTTTAAAATAATGCTACAGCCAATTTCTTGTTCTAAGTGGTTAGATTTCCTGTGGGCTGATGTCTCCATGTTTCTTTTGCTGGGCACCTGTTTGTGCTGCAGAGCTGGGGTATACCTGTTGTTCTCGTAGGTACAAGAAAACATTCAAAGACCGAACAGATGAAATTGGAAGAAGAAATAGTGCAAACTCAGGAAGAGCTGAAAGCACTCTTAATAAAGGTGAAATTCCATTTTTTTCAATAGCTTAAGAAGCTTCAATGGGGAGAAGTCTTAGAAATGTAAAGGCGTTTCTTTTTTTGTTTTTTTTTGTCTCCATGAGAAAAGGTTCGTCACAGTTGGTCTTGCTATTCTTGAGGAACATAATACAGGCACAACTGTGGATGCTCTTTGATAATTTTTAATATGATGCTAGAGGAAATTGATCTTTCCTTTTGTTTGGTTTCGCTATAATTGGCCAGCTCTTACTGAGTTTTAGGATTAGAGGGAGGTCAGTTGTACTGGGGCCAGTGCCCTTTGATGAAGACCAACAATAACAGTTCATAGCCATAATTTTTTCTTTTGAGGTGCAACATCCCCCCCGGTCCATTTTCCCAGCTGAGGACTCTTCTTTTAACCACACCACTTTTGACTCAGGTTTCTAAGATTCAAAGTCAGCTTTTGTTTCTCTGCATCTGCACGTATAACATCTGTTTAGGGAGAAAGCCCCTGGTGTAGGCTCAGGAGACTTTGAAATATCAGTTGCTGTGTGGGCTTGTGACTGACTCTTCCTCACTCTCTCACTGGCTCATATTTCTCCTGTACATAAAGGACAGCTCAGCTCAACTTCTTGCATGGATTGTGGGTTAGTGCAGTGAGGAGTGGGTAGAGAACTGCCAACTGGTGGAACATCTGAGGGCCAGGCTCAGGTCTAATTCATACTGGTCCTGTGCTGCTTACCATCAGAAACCTAAAAAAACTACCTTAGGATGGTCCATAAGGCTCTTTGTGGTGAGTGAAACTTAATTTTACACATTGGAGAACAATGAAAACTGGTTCCAAAATAAGTTTAAAGTGATGGAAATTTATTTTTTTTCCGGAATCAAAGTTTTATTTAATACTTTGTTTTTTTTAAGGACACTCTGTTTTTCAGTTGTTTTTAAAAAGACAGGAGCCATCCTAGTTATCTGATAGTGTGTGGCACCTCTGGGTAGGTGGTGTTTGTTTGTTTTGTTTTGTTTTTTCTGTTTCCCCAAATGGAATGATTATAGAAGCAGGTATTTAAGAAATTCAAGGCCTTGTACAACAGTTTAGAGAAGGGGCCAGCCAAGAAGTATTTGTTATTTGGGGATAAATTACAATGCTATCTGAAATAATAATCTGTACTTTTTCCTCTTAAGATGGTTAAATTGGGAAAGAGAAAATTAAGAGATCATCAGGCAATAAAAGAAGCGTCTGAAGTGAAGCTCCCAGAGAATATCACTGCTGAGTTTCTTCGTGAAAAGCAGCAAGGGATTGACCGCCCTGTGCAAGGTGGTAGTATCTAGTGTGCCTGGTTGCTTGACTCTCAAAGGGTAGTATAGCGGTCTGGGGAACTTTGGAGAAGAACCATAAGCCAGTCCAAAGGTGCTGTAGTAGAGCACGAGTTTGGTAACAAAGAGTGACTAAAGAGCATGGAGATTTTAACGGATTAGTTTGGGCTTGAGATGCGTTTTCCTGGGCAGAATTCTTACCTTGACAGTTGGAAAATAATAGTCAAAGTAATAATGTGAACCATCTGAAGTCACACTGGTTTATCCCTAAACTTTGGTATCCTTTGTCGCCCTGGTGACGCCTTGAATTCTTAACTACTCATTTGTCAATGGTGGGTTAGTAATATAGAATTTGAAAGAGTAATTAATTTGAAAGCTTGAATAAGAATTTAGTCTCTTAAGGTGCTTATCCTAGTTCTGGACTGGTTAAATATATTAGGCAAAGGTAGTTGCTATTCTTTCCATCCTTCCCTTTACAGCACACCACTAGCGGGTTTTTTCCTTTGCTTTTCCTCTGCATGCTTCTGCTTTCCCCATTTTAATACAGGTTCATGCTTTTCTCAAAGAACAGAAATCTGAGCTCTAACCTGACTTTAAATTGACATGCATGCCTCAAATGATTGAGCAGGAATCAGTCTAGTCTTACATTTGTAATAAAGAAGCTAGGTAGGTAATCTGACCTTATAGGATAAAATTCACTTTAATTTTAATTAATTTTATCAGGAGTATGATGATTAGCTGAAACAAGGAAAGCTAGAAAGAAAAACTTCAAGAATTGGAAGCCAATCCACCAAGGTAAGAGAAGCAAACTCAAACATTCCGAGGGATAGTTTTGTTCTTTCGGTGTTAGATTTAGAAGGAAAATTTTAAAGCATTACAGTGAGCTTTTATTTATATTTGGTGAATATTTTAAGTTTTGTAATGAACGGGAAGTATCTGTGAACATGGGGCTCAATCCCCTAACTCCTTCTTTCTATTTTATGTCGGAGTCTGTCTCAACATCTAAATAGATGGCTTCGAAAAGATAGCCCTTCTCCTTAAGAACCAATATTTGGGGGAAGATGGATATTATCTTCTTTGAGTGTGGTTTAAAAAAAAATGTGTGTTGTTGATTTAAATTTCCATAATTCTGGGGACTAGCAATGCATTATACTTTATTCCCATTGGACTTCAGGCTCCTAGTTGGAATGACTGCAGGCCGATAAGGTGTTCCATATGCATCTGTCCTTTGTTCTATAGCCGGAGACATTACCCTTCCTTGCGATTAAGTCTATGCTTTATTGAAAATATAAAACAAATGTTTACAGTCAGCTTTTATAATGCAAGAAGACTTAGTATGAAAAAGTCTATTATTTTTTTTCAGACAAATGAGGCACTACAGTAATTTGCTTTTCTGAGGTGAGGTTGGCATTGCCTTTGGCAGTAAGGAATAAAGCAGTTAATAAAGACAACATTCTCCTTTTTGATTCATAATTTCTTAATATATAGCATAGTTCCTGTGGTTACTGGCCTAGATTCCGCACATTTGCTGAGGTCACCAGCATTAGCTCTTTGAGAGTGGCAGAAATTTTGTTAACCCTGTTCCCTTGGTCTTATTTTTCAGTGATGTGTATCTCTCGTCAAGAGACAGACAGATACTTGATTGGCATTTTGCAAATCTTGAATTTGCTAATGCTACACCTCTGTCCACCCTCTCCCTTAAACATTGGGATCAGGTAAAATTAATCATTTATTGTGTTGCACATATCTGAGAGGACTCAGAAACTGTTAATTTGTGTATGTGTGCTTTTAGGCAGCTTTAATGGAAGATACAGTTATATACAGTGAAATGCAGCCATTTGAAGTAAACAAGTTGACTTGCCAAGCCTCATCATGAGCCACCCCACAGTTCGGGTATAGGACATGTCCACGATCCGGAAATGGTCCCCCTGCTCCTTTGCAAGTGACTCCTCCATGCTCTGGCTCCTGACCCTAAACAATCGCCAGCTTGGTCTCTGTCACCATAATTTTGTTTATAGTTTCATTATCAGTTGAATAGTGTATAGCCTTTTGTGTGACTTCATTTATCATGAAGTTATGAGGTTCATTGTTTGTTTCTTATTTTTTTTTTAAAGTGTTTATTAGTATCATAGTTACATTATATTTCCATATGTACATATATTGTACCCTGGTTTGGTTCATCCCTCTATTATTCTCCCGCTCTTCATAAAAAGACTTAACAGGCTTTAGTGTCCCATGTTCATACATGTATAGACAGCACCTCAGCCACGTTCACCTCCTTCACCTTCTTCATATTAGTGTCCTTCATTGTTTCAGTGTCTGTTCATTGTTTGGGGGGGGCGGGGGCTTGTCTTGGTATTTTACCTGTAAATATATCAGTCTAACCCCCTCTCTTCCTTATCCTTTCCCCTACTGTGTTTTCAGTGCATTGTGTCTTGTTCCTACACAGATGTGATATATTTCAGTATCATTCACTGTCATTCTTTTCTTCTTTTCCTTCATCCTTAGTGTCTTCTAACAGTCCCACTTTTGGAAACATGTTCTGCATATAATTATGTATATAATGATACTATTTGTATTTGGATCTGTCTTCCAATATGAGAGAAAACCTGTGACTGTAACTTTCTGAACCTGGCTTACTTCACTTAGCATGATGTTCTCCAGTTCCATCAATTTATCTATGAACAACAAAATTTCACTCTTTATGACTAAATAATATTCCGTGTGTGTGTGTGTGTGTTCCTACCACATTTTCTTTTTTTTTTTTTCTTTCATTTTTCTTTTATTATTCATGTGCATACAAGGCTTGGTTCATTTCTCACCCCTGCCCCCACCCCCTCCCTTACCACCCACTCCGCCCCCTCCCTCTCTCCCCCCTCAATACCCAGCAGAAACTATTTTGCCCTTATTTCTAATTTTGTTGTAGAGAGAGTATAAGCAATAATAGGAAGGAACAAGGGTTTTTGCTGGTTGAGATAAGGATAGCTATACAGGGCATTGACTCACATTGATTTCCTGTGCGTGGTGTTACCTTCTAGGTTAATTCTTTTTGATCTAACCTTTTCTCTAGTTCCTGTCCCCTTTTCCTATTGGCCTCAGTTGCTTTAAGGTATCTGCTTTAGTTTCTCTGCGTTAAGGGCAACAAATGCTAGCTAGTTTTTTAGGTGTCTTACCTATCCTCACCCCTCCCTTGTGTGCTCTCGCTTTTATCATGTGCTCAAGTCCAATCCCCTTGTTGTGTTTGCCCTTGATCTAATGTCCACATATGAGGGAGAACATACGATTTTTGGTCTTTTGGCCAGGCTAACCTCACTCAGAATGATGTTCTCCAATTCCATCCATTTACCAGCGAATGATAACATTTCGTTCTTCTTCATGGCTGCATAAAATTCCATTGTGTATAGATACCACATTTTCTTAATCCATTCGTCAGTGGTGGGGCATCTTGGCTGTTTCCATAACTTGGCTATTGTGAATAGTGCCGCAATAAACATGGATGTGCAGGTGCCTCTGGAGTAACAGTCTTTTGGGTATATCCCCAAGAGTGGTATTGCTGGATCAAATGGTAGATCGATGTCCAGCTTTTTAAGTAGCCTCCAAATTTTTTTCCAGAGTGGTTGTACTAGTCTACATTCCCACCAACAGTGTAAGAGGGTTCCTTTTTCCCCGCATCCTCGCCAACACCTGTTGTTGGTGGTGTTGCTGATGATGGCTATTCTAACAGGGGTGAGGTGGAATCTTAGTGTGGTTTTAATTTGCATTTCCTTTATTGCTAGAGATGGTGAGCATTTTTTCATGTGTTTTTGGCCATTTGAATTTCTTCTTTTGAGAAAGTTCTGTTTAGTTCACTGCCCATTTCTTTATTGGTTCATTAGTTTTGGGAGAATTTAGTTTTTTAAGTTCCCTATATATTCTGGTTATCAGTCCTTTGTCTGATGTATAGTTGGCAAATATTTTCTCCCACTCTGTGGGTGTTCTCTTCAGTTTAGAGACCATTTCTTTTGATGAACAGAAGCTTTTTAGTTTTATGAGGTCCCATTTATCTATGCTATCTCTTAGTTGCTGTGCTGCTGGGGTTTCATTGAGAAAGTTCTTACCTATACCTACTAACTCCAGAGTATTTCCTACTCTTTCTTGTATCAACTTAAGTTTGGGGTCTGATATTAAGATCCTTGATCCATTTTGAGTTAATCTTGGTATAGGGTGATATACATGGATCTAGTTTCAGTTTTTTGCAGACTGCTAACCAGTTTTCCCAGCAGTTTTTGTTGAAGAGGCTGCTATTTCTCCATCGTATATTTTTAGCTCCTTTGTCAAAGATAAGTTGCTTATAGTTGTGTGGCTTCATATCTGGATCCTCTATTCTGTTCCACTGGTCTTCATGTCTGTTTTTGTGCCAGTACCATGCTGTTTTTATTGTTATTGCTTTGTAATATAGTTTGAAGTCAGGTATTGTGATACCTCCTGCATTGTTCTTTTGACTGAGTATTGCCTTGGCTATTCGTGGCCTCTTGTGTTTCCATATAAATTTAACAGTAGATTTTTCAATCTCTTTAATGAATGTCATTGGAATTTTGATGGGAATTGCATTAAACATGTAGATTACTTTTGGGAGTATCGACATTTTTACTATGTTGATTCTACCAATCCATGAGCATGGGAGATCTCTCCACTTTCTATAGTCTTCCTCAATCTCTTTCTTCAGAAGTGTATAGTTTTCCTTGTAGAGGTCTTTCACATCTTTTGTTAGGTTTACACCTAGGTATTTGATTTTTTTTGAGGCTATTGTAAATGGAATTGTTTTCATACATTCTTTTTCCGTTTGCTCATTGTTAGTGTATAGAAATGCTAATGATTTTTCTATGTTGATTTTATATCCTGCTACCTTGCTATAGCTATTGATGATGTCTAGAAGCTTCTGAGTAGAGTTTTTTGGGTCTTTAAGGTATAGGATCATGTCGTCTGCAAATAGGGATATTTTGACAGTTTCTTTACCTATTTGTATTCCTTTTATTCCTTCTTCTTGCCTAATTGCTCTGGCTAGGAATTCCAGTACTATGTTGAATAGGAGTGGAGATAGTGGGCATCCTTGTCTGGTTCCTGATTTTAGAGGGAATGGTTTCAGTTTTTCTCCGTTAAGTATAATGCTGGCTGTAGGTTTGTCATATATAGCTTTTATAATGTTGAGGAACTTTCCTTCTATTCCTAGTTTTCTTAGAGCTTTTATCATGAAATGATGTTGGATCTTATCAAAGGCTTTTTCTGCATCTATTGAGATGATCAAGTGGTTTTTGTCTTTGCTTCTGTTAATGTGGTTTATTACGTTTATTGATTTTCGTATGTTGAACCACCCCTGCATCCCTGGGATGAAGCCTACTTGGTCGTGGTGAATAATCTTTTTGATGTGTTGCTGAATTCGGTTTGCCATTATTTTGTTGAGGATTTTTGCATCAATGTTCATTAAGGAGATTGGCCTATAGTTCTCCTTTTTGGAGGTGTCTTTGCCTGGTTTTGGGATAAGTGTAATACTGGCTTCATAAAATGTGTTTGGCAGTTTTCCTTCCCTTTCTATTTCATGGAACAGTTTAAGGAGGGTTGGTATCAGTTCTTCTTTAAAGGTCTGATAGAATTCAGCAGAGAATCCATCAGGTCCTGGACTTTTCTTTTTGGGGAGACTCTTGATTGCTGCTTCAATTTCATTTTGTGTTATAGGTCTATTCAGGTGATTAATTTCCTCTTGGTTCAGTTTTGGATGATCATATGTATCTAGAAATCTGTCCATTTCTTTTAGATTTTCAAATTTATTTGAATATAGGTTCTCAAAGTAGTCTCTGATGATTTCCTGGACTTCCATGGTGTTTGTTGTTATCTCCCCTTTTGCATTCCTGATTCTACTAATTTGGGTTTTTTCTCTCCTCATTTTAGTCAGGTTTGCCAGGGGTCTATCGATCTTGTTTATTTTTTCAAAGAACCAACTTTTTGTTTCATTAATTCTTTGTATGGTTTTTTTGGTTTCTATTTCGTTGATTTCAGCTCTTATTTTTATTATTTCTCTCCTTCTATTTGTTTTGGGATTTGCTTGTTCTTGTTTTTCTAGGAGTTTGAGATGTATCATTAGGTCATTGATTTGGGATCTTTCAATCTTTTTAATATATGCACTCATGGCTATAAACTTTCCTCTCAGACTGCCTTAGCTGTGTCCCATAGGTTCCGGTAGGTTGTGTTTTCATTTTCATTGACTTCCAGGAACTTTTTAATTTCCTCTTTTATTGCATCGATGATCCATTCTTCATTAAGTAATGAGTTATTTAGTTTCCAGCTGTTTGCATGTTTTTTGTCTTTACTTTTGTTGTTGAGTTCTACTTTTACTGCATTGTGGTCAGATAGTATGCACGGTATTATTTCTATTTTCTTATATTTGCTGAGGCTTGCTTTGTGCCCTAGGATATGATCTATTTTGGAGAAGGTTCCATGGGCTGCTGAGAAGAATGTATATTGTGTAGAGTTGGATGAAATGTTCTGTAGACATCTACTAGGTCCATTTGATCTATTGCATATTTTAGATCTTGGATTTCTTTATTGATTTTTTTTTGGATGACCTATCTATTGATGATAATGGGTGTTAAAGTCTCCCACAACCACTGTGTTGGCGTTTATATATGCTTTTAGGTCTTTCAGGGTATGTTTGATGAAATTGGGTGCGTTGACATTGGGT